GGTCAGAAAAAGTCTTTTTTCAACTTGCTTCAAATTAACCATTTTTTCAAAATCATCTATAAGTTATCAGAAGTTCAAATCTGACTTAATGTTTGAGATTTGACATTCAATGACCTTCTTAAGATTTAGAATATAGATTTGATCATTAAATGACATTCTAAAGGTCAAAATAGATTTGACCTTTAGTGACCTCCTCAAGGTCAAAAAGGTATTTTTTATCTTGTTTCAACTAGGTGGTGACATTTTGTCATGTTAATGCCTTGTTTTACTTGTAGCTAGTGAATGTCTTTGAAATGACATAAGCCTAATACAGTGGGACCTGGGTTAGTGAACACCTTTCTCTAGTGAACACCTGTGTAAAATGAACACCCTATTTTCAGCACATACCTTGATTCCAATACAAATTGTCTTTCTGTATTGAAATCTTTTTTGTGGCTCTATAGATGTTCACTGTACACAGGTTTTAATTTATACAAAACACCTTTATATTTAACTTTAATTAATAAACTGATTATCTAATTGCAATTATAAATTGCTATCTATCATTTGCAGGGAACATGTAGCAAAACAATAAGGGAGAATAGTAAGCTATTCAAGGCTTATTACTGTCTGATGTTCTATTATTAACTAATTTGATTGATTCAATTGATGGCTTTCTCAATCCATTCTAAATTGAGGACAATGATCATTTATACTGCATATCATCTGGAATGCCAACACCCTCTAATTTAGCAGATGATCTCTTAAATGCAGCATCCAAGGGCACACAAGCCTTTAAGCAATTTATTCAAGACCAATTTGTGCAGAAGGGAAAGAGTTTTCATAACCCCATAAAAGAATGAAACTGAAAACATCTGAATTCAATGCTGGAGTCAAAAAGGTGAAAAGCTCTGGAAACAAACTGATTGAGATTAGAGCTGAGCGCAATACATTTGGCCAGTTAGTCATGTTATCAGAGCAGCATAGTATCAGTCTAAAGCGAATATTAGAATATCCCCTGAGTCCAATACCCTGGGCTCTTGGAACACCTGATGGGCTCTTGGTTAAAACAGAAAAGTCAAAATTATTACATGAGCTGGAAACATATGATATTACATGGACCCAAACCAGAAAAAAACAATTATAGTCTATGATGGCAAAGCATTGTTCCATATACTTCCTGAGCGACCCAAAACATTTGGATTATTGGCAGAGAGGATCCTTCAGATGCTTCCCATAAGAAAGATTCAATTAAAGAACCAGAAAGAATACGCAGGCGTGTCTCCAAAAAGCTAATAATGAAAGGACCTATTACCAGAATTCCTAACAATTGGAAGGAATTCCTTTTAAATGATGAGAATGAAATGCAGCTGAGTCAGTTGATCCTTGAAGAATGGAAAAAGATAAAAATGCTCCTAAACTCAAAGAAAGACAGATTCATGTGAGATCTGTACAGTGGTAACCAGTGATAGAACTACTGCTACACATACAGTTGAATCAAGCCTGAAATCTTCCCACAAAGAGGCAGATACAAAAATTATACTCCATGCAATTAACATGAAATGAACCTGAAAATACAGAAAAAACTATAGTTGTGAGATCCCCAGATAGCGATGTTTTTGTACTTCTTGCGCACTTTCCAAACTTATTCAAACTCCATTAATTTTTGACACTGGTAGTGCAGACCACATATGACTTATTAAAGGTGCAACAATTAGTGCAGGGGGGTAATTCAACGATCATTGACCAGTGTCAAAATATATTTAAGTTTGGATATTTCATCAAGAGTAACATATATTTTTTTATCTACAAAGAAACCCCCTTGATGAACATTATTTCAGCTGATATTCCTCTTGAAACGTGGTGAATCTTAAAAATCTTAAAAAGTGGGACTCCCTTTATAGAAGCTTTGAACAGAATTTACACTTCTAAATTGAGAGTTTATCCATACATTTTAAGAAAATAGATATGTCAAAGAAGATGTTAAGCCAAATATTGACCTGATAGCTCAGAAAAAAGAAAAAAAATTGAATTTTCTCTCATCTCTCTACAGTCCCTTGTTGCACCTTTAATGTAAAGGAAGTAGGAAATGCGCTCAGTTCAGACATTTGTAAATTTGTAATGCTTTACCAGCCTTCCATTCATTCACTGGATGTGATTCCTTCAGTGCCTTTGTGAGAAGGGAGAAAGTGTCCCCCCCCCCCCTAAAATTACTTATGAGAATTTCAAAAAGGTTTCGGCACCATTGGAGGGGTCATTAGTGATCAAACTGCTAAATGTGCTGAGAAGTTTACTTGCCAGATGTATGGAAACAAAAAGTGTTCAAATATAAATGAGCTGAGATATACCTTATTCAAGAACAAATTTCAACCAAAATCTGCTCCAAGTGTGATAACAAGCTATGAAGGCACTAACAATAAGCCTCCTACCCCCATGTAAAGATTCATTACAGCAGCATCTGGCAAGGGCCAGTTATCAAGCACACATATGGAAACTTGCCAACATCCCCTCCCCATCAATTCCCTCCCGTGTCACATGGATGGAGGATGAAAGATGGCCATTCGGATTTCAATGGGTGTCAAATCAAGATAAAATTCTACCCCAGGACCTGGTAGATGTTATCGTATTAGATGATACTTTAGAAGATCAAAATGAAGAGGAAGTTTATGAAATACAAAGCTTTATGGATCAAATATATTCTGGTGAATAAAAACTACATTTGTGATGACAGAAATTCATACAATGAGTAAAATTAATATTATGACTGAGTCGTGAACTGTGTATTAGATAATATTCAACTTCAGATTTTCAATATTCTTATATCTCGAGCCTACATAGAAAAAATGTTGTATTATAAATAATTCACAGGTATGTACTATATGTATACACCTAAGTGAAAATATTTTATGGTAATATATTTGATAAAATACATGATATGTACATGTATTCATTTAATGTGCCATCATGCTACTGTTTAAATCCACATGTATTAATGGCCACACCCCTTTTATAAGGAAAAGAGGGGAGAGGTAAATTGACCCATATAGGCAAAAAACATGTTAGAGTTTGAGTTTTTCTTTATAGTAATGTCTTGGGGACATGTTGGTGCTACTTTTAGGAAAGTTCCATTAATATTAAACTGAGATTGATTGAGAAATTAAAAAATCAATTCCAATCAATGTCTCTCAACCCCCCCAAAATTCTATGATTTTAGGGTGAAAAAATGTTGCTGTTTTTAAATAAAGTTAAAATTCTTCTATTTTTTTACATATGCATTTCAAGTATGATTACTTTTAACAGAAACACCAAAAGAAAGAAGCATTGGTTGTTTAGTTTTTGTTTTATAGCTAAATAATAATGTACCCCCAAGAAATCTGAATTTTAGGGTCGAAAATGCAATTTTAACATCTTTCGCACCATTTGCGGCGCATAAGACCAGTAAAATCTGTTGAGATAGACCTAAATACATAACCTAAGTCACAAGAGAAATTGTCCCGACAACACCCTGATCGAAGTGCCTCAGATCGCTACCTACTTTGGATGCACACTAAATTTTAGTAGTGCCGCTGTTGTAAAAGCGTTTTATCCTAATAAATAAATAAAAAAAAATTAAAAAAAAAATTAAATAAATATCAAAATAAAGAATAGTAATGCATTAAACATTGTAAAAAATGATTGCATTTTTGGTGAAAATGGGGTCAACATCTTTGAAAAAGTGTGTTGATGGGTTGATTGCTAGTTAAATATCTCCGAGTTTGTTTGACTTTATTATAACTGTGCATAATTTTCTTTGAGATAATGAATTGATCTAAAAGATAAACTTGTCTTCATTGTCAGAAAGTAGTCATAATCCAAGATATAACCTTCTGAAATTGTTTGCAATAACCTACATGCTCCTTTCTAAATCAATGACAATATTGTATACTGTACATGTATACAGGGTGTCTCAAAAAAATGTACCCAAAACTATATCAATAGCACAGATAAACCAATCAATATTTTCAGACATTTTTTGCATGGTCGTGTAGCCAAAACATGAAAGTTTTCTCCCCAATACACCATTTTTATTACAGTCTTGTCTTTTGATGCTTTAACCCTTTACCTTTTACACCACATAATCGATGTAACCTCATTACAGCCTGTATCCTTACTGCTACATTGTTCATCACATTTGATAATAATTCCAGTGGAATGTTTTGGATTTCTCTTTGGATGTTGCCCTTAAGTTGTTCTAGATCTTTTTACTTGGAATGAGCATTAAAACACTCCTTCAAATAGCCACAGAGAAAGATGTCTGAGGATGACGATGGCAGAACAAACACAGATAATCAGGTCAATTATCGGCAAATGATTCAGAAGTTACCTTCCAGAGTAAGGCAGGCTAGCCTGGAGACCTAATGATATCCAAATGAAAACACAGTGGTCTCAAATTGATACACACAACAAAGGCTACATTAGAATCCCAACCAATGCAGTTTCTTTAACCTCTGACCTCTCTGTATAAGGGGGCTATAAGACATTGTGAAGGCCTCCCTATTCACCATATTTGACCGCCTATAGTTTTTTCTCTGAGGCTATTTGAAGGACCATTTTTATGCTAAACCCAAGCTAAGAGACCTAGAACAACTTAAGACCAGCATCCGAACAGAAATCAAAAGATTCTACCAGAAATATCAAATGTGATGAACAATGTACTAGTAAGGATGCAGACTGTCATCGAAATATGAGGTTACATTGAATATGTGGTGTAAAAGGTAAAGGGTTAAAGTATCAAAAAGGCAAAACTGAATTAAAAACTGTGTATAGGGGAAAAAACTTTCATCTTTTATCTACAAGACCATGCAAAAGTGTCTGAAAATATTGATTGGTTTGTCTATGCTGTTGATATACTTTTGGGTACATTTTTTGAGACACCCTATATATATGTCTATGTCTATATCTAATATGGTAATAAACAATATCATATGATGCATATTAAACTGTTTGGAAAATTGTAGAGAAATGAGAAAATGTGTACTTACTGAGGAAGCACAATGCTGGAATGGCACATACTGGAGTAAACAGCAAAGACACAGCAAGTTGAAGGCCAACTATAATCCCAAATATCCTGTCATCATCAAACTTGGTTATAACTACAATAAAAAGTTAAGGATATTTGAAACAGGGATATTTAAAGGCCTGAGGATTTAAACAGGTGCATATGTTAGGCCAATGCATTACCTCCAGGAAAAGCACTCATAGAGATGATAAAATAATTTTGACTTTGAGACCGGGAAGATGCAAATAACCCACCCACATGTTTTTTTCTGAAATGTTGTTCTGATTTTCAATTACCCTTCCACCCTTGCCTTTTCAATTTTTGTTGCATCAATATGTTGCGTTCTAAGACATAGTAAAAACCTTTAAAGGAATGAGTAATTCCTCTTTGATAAAATGGAAAACAATATTTCCCATGTTATTTTCCCAAAGGGAAAACTCATGCGATTAATTGCTTTCGGCTAATTTTGGTCATCCATAATGGATATCTTTAAAAACCCCGAAGGAATTACTTACTCCAATGGGGATAATTGTGTGTCAAAACATAAAATATTGATCATCAAAAATTAAAAAAAGCAGGGGTGGAAGGGGTTGAAAATCAGGACAACATTTCAGAAAAAATATGGATGGGATGGGTTGTTTGCATTTTCCCTGTCTCAAAATCGAAATTATTGTATTATCTCTATGAGTGCTTTTCCTTGTAAGTAATGCATTGACCTAATAAATGCACCTGTTTAAGTCCTCAGAAAATAGCCAAAATCCAACATATGACTGTCTGAAATATGTTGCGCTACATTCCCTCCTCCTTTCCGCCATTTTTCAAATAAAATTTTACTTTTTTTAATCATCAAATATTGCATTACAAAGTTCAAAATATATTAATTTTTTAACACCAATGCGAAGTTTAATATCATACCTAAAGTGCCACTTAGAGGAATTCTATTTGATAAAAATAACAAAATATTGTTTCTGGGACATGATCAAACGACTTTTACATATTCTTTTCCCTAACTATTTTGTAATTTAACAATCAACAATCAAGTATACCATATTTCAGCAGATATCGAAGAAATTCATAAAAATATTTTTTGATAAATATAAATTATGGATTATAAAACCGGAAGTGTTTTCTCAGAGGTCCGTGTGAAATATTTTAATGATTTCTTTTACTGTGGATTCGATTTCAAATGCTTCTTAATGATCTACAAATGCTTACAATGATTTCCATTTGTAATGTTTTGACTTCCCTGGTTCATAAAAACAACATTATCACCATTTACTCGACTCGAAAATTCACTTCTGGCCTGTTGTAATACAGATGAGATGAAGATTGCCGTGAACACCTTTCAATCCTCAGTCTAAATATGACTTTTCAAGGTTCAATAAACAACTCTAAATGGACCTGCATGCATAGTTCGAAAATAGAATCATCAGAGAAGGTTAAACTTCTTTTATCTTCTGTTCAGTTATTCATATCTTGTAAAGTAAACCGCTACATCCATTTGACCTTATTGAGATCCTCAGCCCAATCTATTCTTTCCAGTATTTATTTTTCAGCAACTTGATTCCATACTGGGGAGAATTATTCAAATCAATATAACTCCTGCCACAATATTTATTGTCCCGAATCAAACAAACCATGTACATGAGTACCTGTATCGTAACTGTAATGCCAGCTTAAGTCAGGTAAACTTCGCATTGTACTTAAAATGAAACAGTCAGGGTCTGTTAATGACAATATTTGTATTTTACTTTCCATTCTTGTATATTTTATCAAAATCTTGGCAAATATGTAACAAAGAGATCTCTTACAGCATTTATCCATGTTGCTTGTTTTCACAGTAATTAATTCAAAGGACGGGTGTCAATAAGGGCCCTTTTTAGGCCCGAAAGATATCTGATAATAATGCATATCATATTGAAGAAAAATCAGTTGTGCTTTATAAAATTACAATTTCAGCGAATTTTGAGCTTTGATGTTCACACAACAGTCATTTAAAGATCATATACCATTTTTGGTGTTTTTACAAAAAATTCTTTATTTATTGCTGTCTAAGTACATAATATATAAATATAAACCAATTTAAATATATTAAAATGTAATATATGAAATACTGAAGAAAATATACGATTAAAACTATTTTCATGGAAAAGCACATAGGGCAATATTGGCAAAATGCAAATGCTATTTTGGTAGGTTCTGGGCTAGCAACGGGTACATTTCAACTGTGACTGTAGTGGATACTATTGCCTTTTATCACATAACAGGGCAACATTTCAGCAACTAAAATACAAGTAAAATCAAAGATTTCCTCTCATTTCTAAAACGAGGAACAAAAGTATGAATTCAAGGAAAATTAATGATGGCCTGTGCCAAAATATAACATACGAGAAAGTTGTGGCACAGTAAAGGATATGTATAGGATATCATATGATTTTAAATGATTTTATCTTTATCTCCGAGTTGATATCAATATCCTTCCAAGTTAGTAGCCAATTAGCCAATTAGCGCAGATATTGATATCAATGAGTGGATTAACACGATATCACGAACATTCATAGGATGTTCTATTTATCCCATAGTTCACCTATAAAACTAAACAAAACATATCAAAACAACATCCATTTATTCATTCATCCCCGTAATGTCATGAAATCACTATATAACAAAACACATCATATTGGTAGTAGTTTTCAAATCCCTGGCAAAAGGTGATATCTGTGAAATATTTGCCGTATTCCACAGATATCACTTTTTCTATGCATTTGCAAAATATCATAAATATGTTTTCAATGTTACATTACAGAGCGGAATAGAGCCCAACTATGGGATAAAGAATAACAAATAGGTAAATAATTGAATTACCACTCCAAAAATATTAGATAGGTTTTAAAGAAAGAATATTGAATATGAGATTCAAAAAGTGGCAACTCATGTCTCACATTACTCAAACCCCCAGATCCTCGGTGTCATATACATGTATATCAATGTTATTTACAGGAAGGATTAAATATGGAGTGTATAGCAATGGTCAATACAATATTTCCAGAGGGAATATCTTTTTTCTCTAGAAGCGGAACCCAAACTCAGTCGTGACATGGAAGCTAACTTTTGCAATTAATAGAAACTTGTTTTTTATTATATTTTTGTGTTCCGTATTCGAGATGAAATAATATGAGATTCATTTTTACAAGTGGATGGAATAAATGTGAACTTGTGTATTGAACCATACTCCTTAAAGAACAACATTTTATCCAAGCCAATTAAGAAAACCAAGCCCAATGAGTGTAATTTATGCCCAGTTAAACTAACACAATAACAACTTTTTGTCTCGACTCACTTATTCGAAAGAATTAATTGTATTACTGTTTACTGCATTAAATGTCAAGTATACTATTTACTTAATTTCAAATGCCTATCTCACTTATCGAATGTATATATATACAAGAAATGTTATTTTGAAACAAATTCAGCACAACCAAAACCATGTCCACATATATGACAAATCCAAGATGACTGCCACAACTTTAGATCCATGCACATGTGAAGAAGTTAGAAATACACATGAATCACAAGTCCATATCCCCAATAAAATGGGAAGTTTACGGTTCTCACACATATCAACTCTATTCCTATATACTTTATATTTGTGGTAAGGCTAATGTGATCTAGGTAAACTTAGCATGTTCATGTACTTCCTATCCTCTGAAGCTAAAAACAGAAATAGTGACTTCAATTGAGAAAAATGTATCTTATGGGCCCCATATACATTTTGAGTGGCTGTCCGGCTTAAGTTAGATACTACAGATAATCTGAGATTGAGTATTATGGCAAGTTTAGTCCTCAGCCTCTCATAACTGATAACTTCGAGGTAATTGTGTTGTTACTGCAAAAACTTCTATTTCTTCATCACAAATCTACCATTTTTTGCATCTGTCAAAACCCCTCATTTCATGTGTATTTTCAGACTTTTGCTTGTGCCATCATTAAATATATATATATTCAACTTGTTATTCAGGATATTTCAAGAACTTTTCATGAGGTTTTTTATTTTCACACTTTTGAAAAAATGACTAAGTCCGAGAATGGCCTCTTAATGGCATGTCCCCTTTAATCTATCTTACCTATGAATATGTTGACAGCAAGAAGAGCATGTCAGGGTTGTGCAGATCTATGTACAGTAAACATTTGACTCTACAGCAATATTACTCCAATCATTTGATTTCGTATAAAGAAGAAAGAGGTGGGAATGTCATACAGATTATCAACTTCTCACCCTGATTCCACCATTAAATGAAGACTACATACCTCAGCAGCGTCAGTTAGCATCATATTGAGTTCCATTGTGCTGGTTCTGTCAACTCTAATAGAGATTTTAGATTTGAAAGGGGAATATATTCTAGTTAACTTACTTGATGTTAGACCCCAGATCACGATGCTATGGAACACAATAATGGTCACTACCCACAAGCAAACAGCAAAACACAGTGCTGGAAAAATATAAACAAGAGGCATGACGTAAACGAGATAATACCATCGAAAAACCTTCAATATGACCGCCAGAAACATAAGGCTGCCCAAAAGTTAATCAGCTCTGAACTTGATTTCCTCTATCATGTGTGCGAATTTGAATAGAATCCAATGAGTGGTTTTCTTAAAATGGTGACGACAAGATTTATCGAAGCCTTCAAAACAGCCACCAGAAAAGAAGATGGCCGCCGAAAAGTTAATCAGCTCTACCCAAGTAAAAAAGAAATCTAATATACCACTAATACATCACTAATACATCACCAATAGATCACCAATACACCATGAAAAGTGATTGAGTCAAGTGGTCTATAAGTTATGTATTAAAACTGGCAATACTCAACTAAAAACCACTGTAAGGTTTTTTAGGTGGAGTGGTTTGTTAGTTGTGTATTAACTCGATTTTTCTGTAATGGTCTATTAGTAGTGTATTAAACTGATCCTTGATTTAGAATGAGAAACCCCTTTTAATGGCGAAAATAGTTAAAATGTGAGTGAATTAATTCTCCAATGAAATGTAGCATTACAACCAGAGGGGTGACTGGACTTTATTGAATCTTGCTCAGCATATTCATAAAGGTATGTAGAAGATGTACATGTTGAATCTTATTCATAATTTCTCACTGAATTTAACACTATAGAGATTTTTACCTGATGGATGTATAAAAGATCCAGGAGATTTCAGGAGTGATTACTATTAGACTAGTAGTGGTGTATGAGTGGTGTATTAGAGTTCAGGAAGTGATGTATTAGTGGTCTATTAGTAATACTTGAGACTTCAGGAGTGATCTATTAGTAGTGTATTACATGCTCTCTGATTGGTCAATAATTTTTATCTCATTTGCATGGTAATTTTTTCAACTAATAAACCACCTGTTAAGTCAATGGCAAAAAGTGATCTGTTAACGAAAATGACCACTAACAAATCACTAATAGATCATGTTCTACTAGTTGAGTATTAGTAGTCTATAGTCTATAGTAGTCAATTTGATGATCATCTTTTGAATCGAAAAAATTGAATTTGAAAAATATATATACTTTTCTACCCGTACTAGTTTTAGAAAACACATCAGACACATCTTTTATTCTCAGTATCATATGTTCGGAATGAAATGGAACATATATCCCAACCTCATTGGAACAAAATGAAAAAGTAGACTAATCTGACGTCATATTCCTGCGCGCACATAGAAGTACACAATTGTTGAATACGCGTCTGTAAATTGCACCAATATGATAATCTCATGTAAAAACCTGTCAACTTCACGCTGGCCCACAGGAAATAAACAAATCTGACGTCATTTATCTGCGCATGCATTGAAGTCATCCTCTGATCACAGGGCTTCAAAATCCAGAATATATTCTTTCTTTTTACCCCCTGCGATAAGCAGTTAGCATTTCCGCGATTAAGAACTCGCAATCTGATTGGCTGTCGCAACACTGAGACAGAAATCATGTAGAAGTAATTGCGCATAATTAGATCATGTGATTCAGTTTAATCGGGCGCTTCCAAATAGGTTATAGCAGGGGGAAGAAGGAGGTACGGATTCTGGATACCTGCTTAGGAGGATGATTGAAGTTCACGTTCAAGTTTTGTTAAATACGTGTAGCTTAACCTGTCTAATAAGTGCATTGTACCTACCCCTTAATAAATTAATAGCACCTACCCCTTAATAGCCCAATTTACACTACGCGCAGCATTCTAAGACGTTTTGGCTAAAACGTTTTAGAAAGATTAAGTTGAGTTTATACATAACCATTTTCAAAACGTCTTAGGAAATAAGATCGAGTTTACACCTGTTTTCCTAAAAAGTTTTAGAGATATGTAGGTATACATGTAAAATGAAAAGAAAAAAGCAGTTCAGTACTGGTTGAAGGACGGTTCAGTCAATATAGCTATTCTTTTTCCGCTTCTATACTTTGTACCCGACTATGTACTAATGCATCGGTTTCAGAAAAATATGTCCTAAAGAAAGCATTGTTAAAAGCATGAAGATTTTATGCATAAATTAGGATAATGATAAATCGCCAGGCAAATAAGTTCTTCTCAATAATTTTGGGATGATATTGACACCCAAAACCCCTCCGTCCCCTTATTTTTTATACAACGTATGGAAACATATTTTGTAAAGTCATTAATTTTATGATGATAATGTCACTTACAAATATTTATTGCAGGTTGTGTAGACCGTTGATGCTTGATTTAAAGCAAAAACATGACTTTTGCACGTTGGTGGCATTGCGCCTTTTTTAATTGATCCTATACAAAAGAAGAGAATCGGCTAAAAAAAATTCGTAGAATACGTGACTATTTTACCATACCGTGCGCCTATTCGTTTAGCAATTAAATCATAAACCTTTTCTTGAAAAAATAATTTTGCAGATTTGTTCATTTTTCTACCAGAACTTGCTTGCTCCCCCCCTCCGTCCCATTTTCACGATCACCGGGTGTGATTGAGAACAAGGGAAAAGACAAAATAAAGGACCATGCGACATATGTAAATGGAAAGTTTCAAATGTTTCGTTCGGCGCAACGTAAAAACGCGCTAGTGTAAATCCAACAAAAAAGTGCATTGTACCTACCTCTTAATAAATTAATAGCACCTACCCCTTAATAAATTAATTGTACCTAATCCTTAATAAGTTAATTGTACCTACCCCTTAATAAGATTTTGGATAAATCCCAGCATGTTCTATAATCGTGTTCTGGGCAAATATTCAGAAAACACTCTTGAACTTTTTCCTTCACCATTACTGCAAAATCATTTGAGATGCAAACATGGGTGAATGTACACTGCACGGTTCAAGAAAAGATGATCATAAGCTGAGCGTTGTAGCCTTGCTGATTGATATCATCACATCTTCATGGAGAAGGCTTAATCTTCAATGCATAAAAACACCTGAAAATACAATAATAATACCATGCACATAAGGTTATGTCAGGCCCTTTTATATTTAGATTCACCTCTTCTTCTTCGAAATCAAGAAGAATCAAGATCATTTTTGATGAAATGTTCTCACCCCGTAAAATGGACAAAATGAGGAAAGATGTTACACAAATTGATTTCAACTATGATTCTGTAACAACCTATGGATTTTAAGGTAACAGTAAAGTTAATCAAAAGTACAAAAAATGGCAGCCATATTTTTTTTAATAAAGTCACAAGATAGCTGTTTCGCTCATGTGAATGCATTTCTTGATTAAAGAGACATGTCAAATAAAACTTCACATTTAAAAGCATTTTCATAACTATGAATTGGAGGTGCATGGGTCTTTAAACCTAGCATGGAGACTCCCCGCAATGCGCGGCCTTCGGCCACGCAATCAGGCATCCCTGAGTATGCGCACCAACTCAAAATATAGCCCTACGCCCACAAAACTGTATATCTAGTTTAAATGGGCTTGTTAGCCTTTTTTGCAGATTATTGATGTAGATGTACTGACGAAATAAAACAGTGAAATTGGTGGCCTTAGAGAAATCGGCATGTGCATTCAGTTGAATGCCACAGGAACCTGTATCAACACCTGACAGTGACATTTATTGGTGACCAAAACCCGGAAATATCATTTTATCTCTTAAAAAGGAGCTCCTCAATCAGACCGAAAATCTACCAACCCATTTTTAAAAGTTACAAAATTGTTATTTTTCTTTGCCTGTGAGCCTTCATATTTTCCCCGTTTGTTAAAAACATATCAAAAGACTAAAATTTAGCATAAAATTTGATTCACTGACGATTGATTATGATAATTTGATGACTGAAGTTGGTCGACTTTTCGTACGACTATATAACGGTTGTGGCTCAAAATTTCATTACTCACCTTTCGTTCATTTACAGTATCGCTAGTTTCGGCACAAACAACAATCTGACAATTGCAGAGATACTTCATCCACTTCTTTGGAATGTATTTGCAACTGAATTTCCATATTTTACTTCATTTGAACCGTGCAATTTGCAATGTTTTCGTATCTGGTGTTAGATTTAAAAATATATTCAATTAAACAAAAACGAGGCTGACCCCGAGGATGACCTATTTGTTTCGGAAGAAAAAGTTAAGTCAAGTCACAAAAGTATACAATATATTCATATTTTAAAATTCTAATTGATCAAGCTTTATGATCGAGTTGTGTTTCAAGAAATAACTTACATCCGGAGTGTGAAATATCCAATAGAAACTAGTGATATAGAGACAAAAACTGAGCACTAAATTGAATTTTTTTGATGGGAAACTTCGACAGTTTTCATTTATTTGAAAATATTTTTAAATTTACCCCCAGATACAAAAACATTGCAGATTTATACCATTCAACCGAAATAAAACATGGAAATTCAGTAGCAAATACATTCCAAAGATGATCTCTGCAATTTTCAGACTGTTGTTTGTGCCGAAAATAGCAATAAACAAACGAAAGGTGAGTATAATGAAATTTTGAGCCACACCATTATATTGTCGTACAAAAAGTCGACCAACTTCAGTCATCAAATTATCATAATCAATCGACAGTGAATTGAATTTTATGCTAAATTCTAGTCTTTGGATATGTTTTCAACAAACAGGAAAAACTTACTCGAGTCTCTAGCTTACAGCTAGACGAAACTTCATTGATTTCGTATGTACTCTAGAAAAGGTGCTACACGCTCCTAGAACTCATTTTTAATAAATTTTATAAATATTTTTAAGAATATTAATCATATTTAGGATGAAGCGTTGCTTGTCTGGATTTAGATATTTCAAAATTTCATTTCGGAGTTTGACACATGGTGAAATTTTCTCGCTGTAGCTAAAAATGGCTTCCGGTTCTGGACGTGAATAAAATTTGAAATTATTCTCGCAGTTTTGAAATCAAATATAACAATAGATTCAGACGGCGATGTGAGCTGATGTTCTTCAAATCTATACATAAAGGTATATTTCATATTATTATGCCATATTTACTGTGCGTGTGACACAATGATTTACAATATTTATAATACTAAGGCAGCTCAATCTTCCTCCTCAAAGCCGGAATATAGAGAAGGCTTTGGACCGAAGTAAGGCCGAAAAACATATGGCAAAGAAAAATAACAATTTTGTAACTTTTAAAAAAGAGTTCGTGATTTTCCAATGATTGTTACCCTCCTTGTACATGTTGTATAAGAGATTTATTCCCAGGGTTCTGACACCAATAGATGGCACTGTAACTGTCAGGTGTTGATCAGGTTCCTGTGTTGAATGCCCATGGAAAAGCTCAATATGACATTGTTAGTGTTTCCTTATTGGCTTACCTGAAATAATCTATCGTGTTATTCAAAAAGATTTTTATACATTTTTAATTGTGACATTTATATATTGCAGAGACCTGTTGAATTTAAAATAAAACGATGATAAACACGAATTTGGGTATTTACCCGTTTTACCTGCGCGCATGCGCTCTCTTCATTTCCGTCGAAAGAAAACCCGGGAACCAGCTTGAGTTTGACCCGGTGTAAAAGAAATTATGGTCCCCTTTAGTCCTTTCCTTACGGCCCTTACTGGCCATGACTGTGTATAAAATATAAGGTAAATAATTGTTATTAGGTCACCATATAAATCAATAGAGAGCAGGACCAAAATTTGATTCGGACCACCTACCTTTTCAGCCCGCTTTTCAGTACACCTGGATGACCTAGGCCCCGGGGTGGGGCTCTCTAACCCTGTGTAGATGCGTGGCAGTACATGCATACTCCTGAGCTTACCTCCATAGCCTCTGTAGCCGGAACCGGACCCTAAGAAAGGAGTGAGAGGTTTCGGAAAGCCTTTGCAGGCCCGTAACCAGGGGGGTTCGCAGGGTTCGGGCGAACCCCCCCCCCCTCCCTTGGCAAACATTGCACAAAATTTGTTCAATATTTCACTGCGCATGCGCAGAACCATTACTTCCGGTTTTCCAAAGCCTATGGGATTTATAATGGAGACATTTTTCGAACGCTAACTGTGCGAATGATATTGATTTGCCACCTTAGTCATCTCAGGTTTCTATAACTAGACATCAACCTTTACTGATTTAACATGTTTTAAGCAATGTACACATGCACACTTTTCGGCGAATTTGTTTTGAAAAAATCATGAGGAATTCATGCATGACTCCATTGAAATCCATTAGAAATGGCGTCAAAATGGTGAAATGAGGATATTCAACGGTCTGGTAGAGGTACTTAAAATCATATGGTATCTTAGTCATCTCAGGTTTCTGTAACTTTGAAGGTAGATCTGTTTGATTCCGTTGAGATTAGAATCCTCATACCTTTAACTTTTCGGCCAATTTCAAACAAAATATGATAACTTTTGGTGATATAACTGGTTCATTACATTGGAATGACGTCAAAATAAAATAAGACAATCTCAGTTTCTATGGCACTGACGTCATGGCGTCAGATTTATCTTAAGATCTCAAATATGACGTCATGTTTAATCAATGAATGACATCTATCGGCTATTCGACCAATTCTGTGCAATGAATCCTGGCTACGGGACTGCTTTGTGCCTAGCCCTGAGGGATGTATTTGTCGATAACACCCGTTCTGAGGTCGATATTGGAGGGGGGCTATAGAGATATTGTATATTGTATTAGAGGGTAAAAAATTATTGTATATTGTATAAGAGGGGGCAACACATTTATGGTATCTCAAGGCCTCTTTGGTCTTTATTTGGCACCCGCCATGGGTCATCACGATAGCCGCCCCCCCTTGTCTTTATTCTTTCGCAGACAGCAGATAATTTGAGAGGGGCCCTGGCATACTCGAATGCCAGTGGGTAAAACAATGCATTTAAAATGCCAGTGGGTAAAACAACCCAATTGAAAAATAAAACTAATTACCAACTTATTACCAACTAATTTACAACTAATTATCAACAATTCTGCTGGCAATTGGAATTAAAGTTAAGCGTTAATTAAATCAATGATAATTATGGCCTAATTATCAGTAGCAAGTTCAACGTAAATTAACTTACAATAATGCTGATTTATGATTTTTAGTTGATAATTAAGATATGAAATGTTTGAGGGTGATAGTAAGTGGTAAATTAAAACGTTTTTGTTCTGAAGTAGATTATTGGTTGATAGTTAACATATAGGATGATTATAATGATAATTAGTCGTAAATTAGGCCCATGATTTTGAAATACAAACCCCCTAAATTTAATTTCAAGATGGTGGAAAAAGAAAACATGTGAGAGATATTTCTCTCATAAAATTGAGAATTACAACGTGAATGGTGCGTATACTACCATGAAATTTGGTCAACATTATTATAAGGGTATGTAGAACATGAATACAATGTATGTTAAATCTTATTCACACTTCTGTCTGAAATGTTTATGAATTTAAAAATCTTTTTGAATCAGATCATATAATATTAATCCTAGAATGCAATTTAGATACTAACATGGGTTACCTATATTTCACAAGTAATCCAAATGTGCTCTTCTAAATAATGATTGTTAGATCAAAGACATTTCAAAACATATTTTTGATTATATCTGTGTTACGTCCTTATTATGTAACATTATAGTCTAATGTTTGTGTTCTGATTTTAGTTGTTGATGGCAATAATGATGTTTTCACATGCTTTTCATGAATCTTAAAAATTTGCAAAATAGAATAGCTTTAAAAAAGGGTTCAAAGATGACATACGCTTATAATGTAAATCTATATTGAGATGACATCGTCGCTGATTGGTTTAGCGAGTCGATCGTTTATTGGTTTAAATCTAGGTCAATTTGAAAACTTTAAAACCAAGATGGAGGGTACATTTTCGACAAAAGGAGGTGTGCGAAGGAGGAAATCGTATGTCATCAATTGAATCATGGGGTTTTCCCTCCTCTTGCTGTGAAATTTCAATAGTTCAAGTTCAATGTTGTCTGTTCTGAAAGATCCTAATTAAGATGAATATTCCGTCACAAAATAGTTCAAGATGAAGCAAAAATCTCCGAGTGAAGGGAAGCAAAAAAGAAGCGAGTCATTTTTGAGATGTCACAAATCTGACTTAAACCTAACTTTCAACTAATTATCAATAGTAAGTTAGGTGATAGTTAGAGATTAACTTACATCAAACTTACAACTAACTTTCAACTAATTTACGTAAATAGCTCATTTGCATATTGATGGTAGTTAATCGTTAATTAAGTTGCAAATTAAGCGTTAATTAAGTTGATAATTAGCTCATTTGCATGTGAATTTTTACACCTAACTTTCAACTAATTATCAATAGTAAGTTAGGTGATAATTGGAGATGATTTTCCATAGGCTTTTTTCAATTGGGAATGCATTTAAAATGCCAGTGCAGTGGGTAAAACAATGGATTTGAATTTGAATTGTATCCTGAAATAAGTCAAACGAATGCAAAGGGTACTTAGAAGCGTATCAGTTAAAAAATACAAGAAGACCTAACATATTTTGCCATGTACTGCGCCTATTCATTTGCCAATTCAGTTGTAAACTTTCTCTTGAAAAATAAATCTTCAAGGTTGAATTTTCTTTCAGAAATCGCCTACTCCCCCTCCGTTCCTTTTGTACGATCACCGGGCTTTGAAGGCTAGTGGAATATTATCATGTGAAGGTGTCACAGGTATTCACCGAAAATAGAATTAAATTTTTTGTTTCATTATTCACTGTGTTATATTCCTCACTCATATTAATGGCGAATGTTATTACACCACCGAGCGAAGTTTTAAAGGAGATTCGTGTGTCCAGAATATTTCCCAAATGCTACTAATGATTTATTGATGTAGGAGGATCTCGGCTCAAGAAGAAATTGTCAAGCCCCTAAATTCGAAAATGCCACGTAGTTATCTTAATAAGTCAAATACAAGTATATGGGTGTGGTTCGAATCTCATATGCTTATCATTTGGGACAAAAGGAGCTTTTTCTCAAGAAGCAATATTCTAGATCGCTGTTGAATTTCCAAAACGGCGGTAATTTTCTTGTAAAAATGTGCTCAAAAAGTTATCTTTAAATTAGCAGCAGAATCTTAAATTAAATATAATAGATTAATTTGCGAAAAGACGAAAATAATTAAAGGTGTACTATACAATGATATGTGTACGTAATTATGTTAATTTAATGTCGGATACATCATTTATATATTGATTGAATAAATATGTTGAAATGCAATGTTTTCCCTCGCCCTACGGGCTGCGTATTGCCCTCCATAGATTTGCTTATTTTCTATTCCCGCGTGGGATATGGATCAGTCAGAGAGTGATGAATATGAAAGTGATCAAATAAATGGACGTTATTTAATGGGAGGGATGAAATATGGATTTTGTTCCCAGGGAAAATATGATATTGGCCAAAGGAAATATGATATTGTGTTAGGGCGATAGCCCAAGTGTCAGTATGATATTTACCGAGCCTAATGTCATATTTTCTCTGGGATACAAATTGATGATCACGACCATAATAACCTATTTATTCCATAATATTTTTTGCTGAAACGTATTTGTTTTAATATTTCGTTTGTCATCACTCAATGATGGTGACATAAAATGATACAATATATAATTCATCATATAAGATTTTCAAATCTTATTAAGTTTTAAATATAGTTAATTTATAATACTAAAATGGATCATAGAATGTCATTATAACACATAATTATACATAATAGCTACACTATACAGGATCGAACAAGGGACCTGATTATGATTATCCTGATTATCAGAATAGGGATTTCGGCTGATACGGGATCTGATACGTGATTTTTGTAATATCAATTCTATTCCTTGTTTATTTCCAAGATGACTGTTATGGAATAAAGACACAATAATGACATTGATTCCATACTTGGACGTGTCACAGGTACATAAAGCAGGTTTTGATAAACCCACATATTTCAACAATGTTCAAATGAAAGTGCAATGCCCTAAAGATTATTTTGACTGGTAAAGCTAGAATACCAGCTTACACTGGCGGATCTGGGGGTGGGGGGCACCCTCTTGGGTGGACCCAGAAAATAAAATTGGGCCCAAACAATTTTTTGAGCTAAAAAGCCTTAAGGCCCCAAAGTATGCCTTTTTGGTCATAAATGGGCCTTCAAAGTCCTCATTTTTTAATTTAGGCCAAATTTTGAAGAAAATGGGCCTCAAAATTTCATAATGTGGACCTTTTTTTCGCGTAAGCGCGTAGGTTTTTGCCCCCCCCCCCCTTGTTGGTTCCCAGATCCGCCCCTGCTTATATTATTGCTTCATTATCTTCATTTTACAATGATATTCACCACTGTCATTCTTGAACTGGTGATATAATTGTAACCGTTGTTCTCCATCAACAGTCCCCGGTGTGAAAGAAATTATGGTCCCCCAGGGATTATGGTCCCCCTTTTAAAGGCCCTTGCTGGCCCTGATTGTGTATAAGATAATAAGGGAAAGAGCATAAAGACTGGTCACCATATAA